TTTGGGCCATAAGCCTTGAGTTATGAACAACAAATTCTCTATCACTGAAAGTTTCATAGGAACACAATTAATATAGCTCAGTGTTAAATTTGTTGCAAGAACTAAAAAAAATCTGTTCACCTGAGAACATTTTGTAAATTGCACAGTGACAAAAAAGTTAAGTATTTATATCTAGAATAGATGCTACTTCACTGAGCTTTAGGATAGAAGAGGAATCTTAAAATTCTCTAATAACTAAATACTTCATTGTCTCTTACCCTACATGAATGAACTGCATGATGCACTTTTTTCAACCATGTTCCTTAAAACCTCATGATTGCATCAGTATTTTAGCTTCTTGACAATGAACAGATTTCTAAAAATGTTCATCCGTATTCTTTTACCTATCAGTAGTTCATTCAATATGTAACAGGAGGTTAATCAGGTTGTACATTTTGTCATTGCTTTCTAAATACTGAGAATAAATAACCTACCTCTAACCAAAGCAAAACCTACTGCCATAGAGTCAATTCCAACTCATAGCAGCCCTACAGGACAGAGCAGAACTGCCCCATAGGGTTTCCAAGGCTGTAAATCTTTACAGAAGCAAGCTGCTACATCTTTCTCCCGCAGAAGGGCTGATGGTTTCTAACCTACGAACTTTCGGTTAGCAGCCATGTGCTTAATCACTGTGCCACCAGGTCTCTTCAACATACCTGTAAGACTCTCTGATTATATAGTCTGAGATCTTACAGGAAAGGACACTCCCTAAAGATATACCCAAATTCACCATAATTGCCTTATGAATTATCTTCTAGATTAGCTCAGGCAATTCATGAAGTACTTGAATTTTTTGCTCCATTTTTCAATTTACCTAATTTGTATGTTATTTCAACAGATAACAGAATCTATGCTGTACATGAATTTCTATACATAAATTATTTTAAGTATCAAATACTATCAGGTATTTTGTTCAATGCCTTTCATAGCAGTTGTAGTATATCATTTTTTTTCTTTAAAATAGTAAATTGGCAGCTTTGGTAGTTTTTGTCACGTCACCTAATCTTTTTTTTTTTGGTGGAAAGGCAAGCTTTATCGCAAAGGAACCTGAAAAGAGCAGTCAGAGGCACCATGACTAAAAACTGGTAGAAGGGGGCACACAATTATGTGTTCATTTGGAAAGGTGTCAGTAGGGAGTCTCCTCAGTTCCTGCCAATTGCCCAACACTTATCCACTCTCCTTTTTAGGTTGAAATTAAAATGGTAGGGTTGAAGGTGCCCATGATGTGCTTGTTACCCAAACACACTCCCATTTCACGAAAGAGAACACCCAGGGTCAACACTGAGGGACTTGCTAAGTTATTAAATGTGTGCATTGATATTAACATTAATTTAGTAGCTTTCTTCACATGTTTAAAAGAGCCAGAGGTTTCATTCATGTTTTAAGTAGCTGAGTTGAGATATTATACTGATTTAAGTTCAATATTATATAATGTAAGTGACTGAGAGGTCATAAAATGCTGATTGTCTTCTTTTATTTTACTTCAATGTGGCAAGTGTAACAGCTACTCTATTATTCCATTACTTCTGTGATAGGATGCAATGACCTTTCATTGAGTTGCTTCAAGTACATTCATTCCCAGTACTTTCGGCAGATATTGTAAGCAGTTGTTCTCAAGTTGAAACTTAATTTAAGGGACCATTTTTTTCCCCATACAAAACAAATAACATAAAAGCTTTTCACTCTTCCATCAAATAACAGAAAGTGATAAAGGCAATGTTTCAGGACATCCAAAATAATCTAAAGACCTAGATTAGCATTTATAGCAGTTTTAGTCTCTATCCAAGATGTTCCTTTTATAAATAAGGAAATTGAAGCCCAGAACAGTTAAATGAATTCTCTAAGCAAATACAGTTAACTAGAAAGAGGGTTAGAATTAAGGACTGGTCCTCCTAATCTCTAAGGCATTGTTTTACACCAAGTTAAAATGATCTGACACCCATATTTGTGGGTTGGCTGCTAAATTCACCTTGGAACCAGAATTTTCCCTGCTTTATTAAGTTTTACCGCTTTGAGCAAAAGATACATTTTTTTAAGTCACATTTAATTGAATACCACCAGGCACTGAATGAAAAAAAAATTACATAGGTATATAATATATATGACATATATATATGCAAATGCTAGTCTTATCTGATTCATCTTTAAATGGAATTGCTATTAAAAAAGTTTAATTTTTAAACATCCCTGAACTAAGTACTTGATAGTTTTCAATCTTTCGTGAACACTAAGAAGAATAATTTAAGAGAGGAAGTTAAGGTAGTTTATGCAGTATGACTTAAAAAAGTATAATAGCTTTTGAATTAATAAGGTAAATATGTAAACAGCTGAGGAATTGACAATGTCAAAGTGGAAGTCAAAGTCAAACAGAAATACACAATCACCTTCCTGTGGCAAATGCAAAGAGAGGGAAGGGGAGAAACAGAAAGCAGAATATTGTTCTCACAAAATATTTTCTCTCTCATCTTTGCTCAAAAAAAAAAAAAAAAAAGAGCAGGAGGAAAATTTTAAGAAATCATGATGAAATGAGCCAATCCTCAAAGCAATAAACAAAAGAAGAGCAGTATTTTGACTGTAACCCACTCAGACCAGCAGGGTCCAGAGAAGGATTTGTTGCCACAAGGCAGCTGGTGTCTGAAGATACAAAACCCTTTTTCTTTTGATGTCACATTAAATCCTGGGGCATAAAATCAGGGGCAGATTGCAGAGCCTCTGATTCTCCAAGATAGGACTATATGGATCATAAGTAAAGTCAAATGACAGTTAATGCTACCAAGTGAATAAAAAATAATTAGCAAATATTTTTAGTAAAAATATGTCTTAACGTACGTATTTTCAAAGCTAATTATTTGTTTAGGCCAGAAAGAGAAGGAAAGGGAGTGAGAGAGAGAGACAGAGAAAGAGAGAGAGGATTCAGAAAGAGAGAGGGGCAATGCCTTGATTTTTAGCTAATAAACAGATTGTGAATTATATAGTACATTATCCAGAAAAGAAAGAATTGTCTTAAGTTTCAATACATGTAGGGGAAATTAGCATAATCAAAGTTTATCATTTCCTTTTCACATTTGGGCACTGTCTTAGTTATCTAGGACTGCTATAACAGAAATTTATTTTCTTATAGTTTAAACTAGTTGCTGTTGAGTCAATTCTGACTCAGAGACCCTATAGGACAGAGTAGAACTGGCCCATAGGGTTTCCAAGGCAGTAGGAAGCAGACTTGCCACATCTTTCTTCCGTAGAGCGGATGGTGGGTTCAAACCACTGACCTTTTGATTTGCAACTGAGCACTTAATCATTGTACCACCAGGACTCCTTTCCTCACAGTTTAGGAGCCTCGATGTCTGAATTCAGGGCACCGGCTCTAGGGGAAAGCTCTCTTTCTGTGTCAGCTCTGGGGGAAGGTTCTTGTCTCTTCTCAGGTTCTGGGCAAAGGCTTGGTTCCTTGGTAATCGTCATATGTTGTAGCATTTACCTTCTCCCATCTCTGCTTGCTTCTCTCTGTCTAATCTGCTCTTTTTAGATTTCAAAGGTGATTGGCTTCAAACACACCCTACAGTGATATGGCTTCTTAACATTACAAAGAAAATTCATTCCCAAATGGGATTTTATCCACAGGTTTATGTGTTAGGAATTACAACACATATTTTTGAGGATCACAATTCAATCCATAACAGGCACAAAAGATGGTATCCTGGTAACTGCAAATCAAATAAATTATAAAAAATGGTAATTCGATTTACATGAAACATAGCTGTGAAGACATCCAACTGGATTGCTGTGGGAATTAGACAAACTAACACCACCGGCACATATATAACACCTAGGATAATATCAGTCAATATAGTAGGTATGGTTTCAATAATCATTTTATATAATCATTACCCCAACGGCCTGCAAACTAGTGATTACACCCAACACTAATTTCAACTCTCTAAAGATACAGCAAAATAAACCATGATGTGTATTTTCAAGTAGCTAAGTTAATCTTACAATGAATTTTCTTCTTGCTCTCCATGGGCATCATTGGGAATTTAAAATTCTAACTAATTAAATCTGTTTTCTCATTCTGATGCAGAGAAGATAAAAAAAAAAAAAAAAGTTGCTCAAAGAATATTATTACTTACATATTATCTATATTATCTAACTTCAAATGTTTAGCTCAACAGAGGTTCAGCCTCCTGGCTTTAGAATTTCTCTCCTCTCATTCCCTTTCCCTCAGTATCGCCACATATACTTACTGTACATTCTCTTAAGGCATGGAATATTCCTTAGTCTATTGTTTTCTCTATGATTCCTTATAAGACCTTCATTTATATGTACTATTTACATTTGACCAAACTGTATGCTGAATATCACTTAATTAAATACGTATTTATTGAGGACTTGATAAATACAAGGCAAATATATTGACCTCAGATCTGTGACTAACCTTCATATACAAGAATTCTGAAAATTTTAATTGGCTCACTAACGTTTCACATTTCCTGAAATGCTCCCAAGAGTTTCTTAAAAATACTTAAAAAAAGGAAAAATTCTCAGAGTATGACATTTTCTACTTAAGTATTATGCTCTTGTAAATTGAGTTTTCAAAATGTTATTAAATAAGAAAAAGTTCATTTTTTACCCTATTTCCAATGGGCTTAGAGAAATAATGTTTATAGTTTGAACATAACAATGTTACAAAATCATTCGGTTTCACTATAGATTAATATAAATATTTATTAATTATTAATTTTATTCATATACTGAAAAGGAAATTTCTGACATGACTACAGTCAATTAAACAAATCCACCCAAAAGACAACCTGTTCCAGCCACCCACACACACACACACACCCACACCCACACACACACACACACACACACACACACACAGAGAGACAAGAATGAGACACAAACAGTGGTGTGAATTTTCGTTAAATCAGATGCACCCTTTGGCTCAGCTGCCAACTTGGCCTTACCTGCAGCCATAACTTGTTATGCACAGCATCTCTCCCTGTGGCGATACACTGAAATGTAGCATTCTGCCCTGCATTGACCTCTACATCCCCCAGACGAAGGAAATGGGGAGATTTATCTGTGAAGGCAGAAAATTAATTTTTTTTTCCACATGAAGAAAACATACTATGTTATTTTTCCCAACAGAATAATGTTTTTAATACTTTTAGCTTTAGCTATGACTAATATCATATGGAAGGAAATTGACTTTTATTCATGCAAGGAAACACCATTTTCTCTCTCCCTCTTACAGTTTTCTTTTCTCAATAGCTCTATTACTTATTTCCCCATAGCTGTTAGAGCATTGCTCCATACACAGTGAGCACTTAATAATTACCACTGATTGACTGGCATAGCATGTTATATGAGTGATAACAAAACAATTACAAATCAAAGCAAGCAAAAGAGATTAAATAGATACAAATCTGAGCAAAATATATAAACATAATGAAAACATACAGTGATACCTAAAATAATTACAAGTACATGGCCATTGAATTATTTAGCTGTAATTTAAGCTGCTAGATTTCTTTTCTTTTTTTAAAACTTCAGTAGTTGTAACCCTCTAATATTTCTAAGAACAGGGAACTATTTTCACTTCCTCAAATATAATATCAACTTAACTGTTGTTAAAACTACTTCCTATCCCTTTATAGTCCTTTAAAGTTATCCAAAAGAAGTATTACACCAGCAAAAAGTGATGACTGCAGTCAAAATGTATATAAAAGTTAGACCATTGTCAAGCAAGTTTTCTCTCCAATTACCTTTTAAAACTGAAGTCTCATTCATGTTTTCCACTGAAAGGATATTTAAAGAAGAAAAGCTAAACCTCAGAGAGTAAAAGAAAAGTGCATGGAGGTCTATATCACACTGACCGCTATTAATGTGCTCAAAGGATATTTTTCTATTTGTTTACTCATAAAAGCCTTTCTTTTATTTAACTTCTATCTTTCAAGAGATGAAAATGAACAGTAGATAGAAACACAATTCTCCTATACTAATGGATTGCAATAACCCAGAAAACCCATTTGAACTTTGAATGAAATGATTTTGTTCTCTTCATTCTTAGAAAGTACCACATGCAATGTATAATTTGGCCCTCCCAGGCAACATCTTTCTCTGATGTCTCGCCTCAGTAGAGCTTTGAAAAAAAGAAATGCTTGAGCTATGGCATGAGCTAGAATAATGGCTCTTAAGACTAGCAATATCAGTATCACCTGGGAACTTGTTAGAAACACTGGTTGCCATACAGTGACTCCAACTCATGGGAACTCCATGTGTTTCAAAATAGAACTGCGTTCCATAGAGTTTTCAGTGGTTGATTTTTCTGAAGTAAATGACTAGGCCTTTCTTTTGAGATGCCTCTGGGTGGCCTCGAACCTCCAATCTTTTGGTTAGCAGTTGAATGTGTTAATCTTTTGCTCTACCCAGTGACTCAGGGAACTTGTGAGAAATGTCATTTCTCTGCCCCATCCTAGACAGTGAATCAGAACTAGTGGAGGGGCCAAGCAATCTGCAATTTCCCATGCCATCTAGGTGATTCTGATGCATGCTGGAGTTTGAGAACCACTCAGCAGGAGCATAGTGCTTGCTCCTTACAAGTTATCCCCTGTCCATGCTGCTTACAATGCAGAGACGTTTCTGCCAGGGAGGGTTACTGAACAGATAATCCAGGATTCACAGGCCTTATAAAATGCTGCTGTTGAGAGATGTAGCTAAAGTTTGAGTTTATGCCAGCTGTTTTATGCTTGAATCTAATGAATGCACGTAATAATTGTTTTTCAGGGAATGTAATATAAACACAAATTTAGTCATGGCATCTGAAGACTAACCAATGTGTATCTAAGGGCATAACTTAACGATGTGGTTAGTAATCTGTTTCTTATTTTGCTTGTTTTCTCTCTGTTTTTGTTTTTAAATATGTATTATAAGAGGTTTATAATGACATTAAAAACAAAAACAAAAAACAGTCTTAAGTTTTGGAATAAAGTGAGCCGTTTTTCTCTCTTCATATCACCCCAAACCTCAGTTTAGCAGATGAACTTAGAGAGGCTTCTTTAAATATTCCTTTCAGTTGAAATCTGATTTATTATTTGTCTTTGCTTTCCTGGATAACTTAATAATACTAAAAAAACTGAACAAGTCCTACATAGAACTACACTGACATCATACTAGTCTTCAGTAATTAAATAACTTAAGAGTCCTTTGATATATGTACAATTAGTTACTAGTCTAAAAATATTTGATTTGGAACCTCTAGTAATATTTCAGTGTTCTTTTAAAGCTTAAAAGCTAAAATTGAACAGAAGGCTAGCAGTAACAATAAAAGAGACAGAAATGACCACTGAACAATCAACAGTCATTGCCAATATAAGACAGGTGTTGTGAGGTCATAGAAAAATACAATTCTTAATCACAACCTACCACAAGGATAACTCAGTACTTGGATATCATCAATGGCAATATAACCGCTTCTCACTCCTGAGACTTCAGCTTCAAATATTACCTGTCAGGAGGAAGTAGAAAACATTTACAACGATCATTTGTAAGGAATTTCCACAGTGGAAGGAGGACAGCTATAGCTCACTCAAGAAACTTAAATTTGATTTTTCTCCTGTAAGAATTAAAACTTATTTTGTAGTGTAATTTCCTAAGTCCTGTTACAAGTGAACGGAAATATCTGAACAGCAATTAAATTACCGAGGTCAAGGAGCTCCCATAATTTTTTTAAGCAACTGCTATTAAATGTTGTTAGCTTTCTCGAAAAAGCAATATACAGGCAGAATGAATAGGCATATACAGCAAATCAGATAACTCTCAAAGTAAATTTTCTCCTATCAATTTCCTATATTTTTCAATATTTATTTAACATGCATTGATCACCTATTATGTGCCAAATAGTATATTAACCACTGAAGATACAAAATAAAGAAATAATTTGAGTTTTTAAGTAGCTGAAGTTGCAAAGATGGAAGTCAACAGATAGATTAGTGTCTTCATAGGCAAAAGAATAATATATGCTGTAATACAACAAAGATACATATCTGGGAAACTAAATGAATATAAGTTTCATGGTCACAAATTCTCAAAAAGGAAAATATAAGATTAAAGAGGTAAATATGGAAGGCCTTGAATGTCACAGGAATGTAGTCAGGAGTATATTCTGTCAACATTTCCATGTCAATAAAAAGAAAAAAATCCTTGCTCAAATTGAAGCTTCCATTATAGACTTTTGTTGTTATAGTTAATACCAGAACTTCTCATGACCTCTGTTTTAATATTGTGTGCCATAACTTTCCAAGAGAATGATTTAGTATGCAGCATTTCAAAGTTTTATTTGACTATGGGCTTGTTAATTCATGAAGACAGATAGAGTATTGTTGGACTGAGCATTTTAGGAAACGCAATGGAAGTCGATATTTAAAATAGGAGTAAAATTTGAATTTTAGAAAGACGTTTGGCTGTAAGGATGGTTTAAATAAGATAATATTGGAAATAGACAGGTAATCTAGTAACAGTGGGAATGGAGAGATGAAAAGAAGCAGGGAAAATGAAAATAATGCTAAGGAAGCAGTCAATATAGAACTTAAAACCCAAACCCATTGCCATCAAGTCGATTCCAACTTATAGCAAACTTAACTCAATTCTGGAGAATGAAGAACTGACATGTAGAACAACTTTCTGATTTCTGACTTGGGCCACTAGACAGGTGATGCTGTCATTAGCCAGGACTAGGAATATAGAAAGAGGTACGCATTTGGGGGAGAAGATAACTGAGTAAGTTTAGGACACTTCAAATTTGATTTGCCTACAAAGAGAAAAAGACTTCCCCTGGAGCTGATGCCCTGAATTTGGACTTTTAGCCTACTGTAACTGTGAGGAAATAAACTTCTCTTCGTTAAAGCCATCCACTTGTGGTGTTTCTGTTATAGCAGCACTAGATGACTAAGACAATCATGGTAAACCAAAAAATCCAAACCCACTGCTGTTAAGTCAATTCCAAATCTTAGTGACTCTATAGGACAGAGTAGAACTGCCCCATAGTGTTTCCAAGGCTATAAATCTTTACAGAAGCCAACTGCCACGTCTTCCTCCTCCTGAGTGGCTGGTGGGTTCAAACTGCTAACCTTCTGGTTAGTAGCTGAGCGCTTTAACCACTGTGCCACCAGGGTTCCTATAGACAAAGGTAAATAATATCAAATGTAGGAGAGAAGTCAAGAAAAACTAAAACAAAAAAGCACCAATTGGAGTTAGCCATTAAGTGTTTTCTCGTAATCTTTACATGAACAGTTTTGCTATATTTGATGAGCAAGAGCTTGACTGAATGGACTGATAATAATTCACATTTATTGAGCACTCAGTGCATACAAGAGACTCTTCTAAGCTAGCGTGCACACTCCCACTCACTCTTGTGTGCACTGTTTTTGTTATTCTGTATATATATACACGTATAAACACACACGTAAACTCATTTAATCCTCACTACCATCATGAGGTAAGTATTATTTGTATCCTTATTTTAACAAAATATTACACAACTTGACCAAGGTCTAACAACCAACAGTGGTGGAGCCAGGACTGGAACCCAGGCATTCTGTCTCCAGAGACCATGTATTCATCACTCACTGCTTCTCAAGACAAAGAAGCAAAGAGAGAGTATTTTTTTAAGTCTTTAAAATTAAAGTCATTATAAATAGCACACTGATTAAATCTTATATGTGATAAACCACAGTATCTATGAGCATTAAACCACCCCCACTCTCACATGGTACTCTCACATTCACCCTAAAGCCTCCAACAATGGGATAGAGTAGGATGGGGCAGCTCAGATCCCTTCCACTCACTTCCATCATAAACCTTTTCTTGTGTTACTTCTTTTCTATTTCAAGTTTGCCCTTTTTGACTGTTGATTAATTGCCATAAATTAAACCTGAGAAGGAGGAGAACAGGGTCTGTGTGGGAAGAGAAATGCTTCACTATAAAAGGATGGATAATCACTGAACACAGAAGTGTGTGTGTATGCGTGTGTGTGTGACTTACCTTTTATATCATGGACTCAGTATGAATGCAAAATTGTCATGGCACTTTCTAAATACTGGAACAAGAGTTTAGCAAGAAATCGAGGAGAGAATCAAATACTTTAAATAATATATATATTGAGTCAATTGTAGTATAGGGCACTTTCCTGGAGGCAAGAAAAGTTGAATTTGACTCTCGACTCTCCTGTATACAAATTCCTCAGCAAATTTCATCCTTTAAAAGCCAAGTCTCAACTTCAGTTTTTATTATAAAATTTAATGTGGATTAAATGATAGCAGATGTAAAACTGCTGTATAAGTCAGAAGGTATGGTTATCAGCATTGCTAATATGTGAGATTTGTATAAATATATCCTAGAAAAATAATTTTTATTTGATAGAATTCTGGTCAAAGAAAGAGAAGGCATAGAAAGAAAAACTGAGAAAACCATATTAAAAAAAAATGACATCATTATGGACAAATCATACAGCTGTATAATTAATCTTTGTTAGTTATTTTCTTCCAATTTTGTTGTAATCAGCATTCATTAAATTATTTTTACTTCTAAGCGTATCTTAGTTTTACTTGCTTGTATTGTTTAACTTCCTTTGCTTCACATAGGTGATAAGTTTAAACAAGATTATTGCACCCTTGGGAAAAATTTTCTTATTTCAATTGTGCTTTATTCAGGACAATAAATTTAGGTCTTGATTTAAAAGGAGGCAAAAGGATTGGTTTTTTACTAAAGGGTGGGAAAAACTGTTTCTCTTTTTAGTGACCTCATTTACCTAGCTAAGTGTTGGCTTTGCCTCATTAACAAAAGGTAGAGGAAATTTCTAAGATCAAATTCCTTTACTACTAAAGATCTAATCAGTTTTATCACTTCAACAGAGCCCTCACCTTGTAAAGCTCTCTGTCCAGTCAGGAGAAACAAATCTCAATAGCTTAATTATGCAAAGCTTGCCTGAGCTAATGTTCAGGTCAGATCTAATGCTTGGTGTCAAGCTGTCAACCAGTGCTTCTCAGAAGAACAGAGCAAATGAAGCCATACCAGATGTCAACATTAACCCAACCAGGAGGCCAGCCTGAGAGCAGAATGAATGGGCTCTGCTTTTCATGCTGTTTTCACTTTACTCCATTATCTGAAATAGTGAAGATGATGATTCTAATCAAATTTTTGCTACTCTAGCAACATTCCTGGATTACTAACTAAGTGGAGTAAAGTTGAATTAAAGTAGAAAAACAACTGCAGGCCCTAAAGAACAACTTTATTCTCTGGTAAAACTAAACTAAATACATATCTGCAGAAGAATACCAAATATAATGAAAATCTGAACTAGATGGCAATAAGCCGAGGATCTAATCCTTGGTTTGCTATTACAAGTAAACAGACCAATTTATTTAACCTGTGTCTTTGTGTCCTCATCTGGCAATACTGGCCTTGTCTATATCCAAGTGTCTGTCAGTTTATGGTACTGTGGGAGCTTGAGTGTTGCTGTGATGCTGGAAGCTATGCCACTAGTATTCAAATGCCAGCACGGTCACCTATGGTGAACAGGTTTCAGCTGAGCTTCCAGACTAAGACAGACTAGGAAGAAGAACTCGGCTGCTTATTTCTGTAAAGAATTAGCCAGTGAAACCCTTATGAATAGCAACAGAACGTTGTCTGATATAATGCCTGAAGATGAGCCCCCCAGGTTGGAAGTCACTCGAAAGACTACTGGGGAAGAGCTGCCTCATCAAAGTAGAGTGGACCTTAATGATGTAGATGGTCCCAAGTTTTCGAGACCTTCATTTGCTGATGTGGCATGACTCAAAATGAGAAGAAACAGCTACAAACATCCACTAACAATTGGAATGTGGCATGTACAAAGTATGAATCTAGGAAAATTGGAAACGGTCAAAAATGAAATGGAACACATAAACATCGATATCCCAGGCATTAGTGAGCTGAAATGGACTGGGATTGGCCATTCTAAATCGGACAATCATATGGTCTACTATGCCGGGAATGACAGCTTAAAGAGAAATGGCGTTGCATTCATCGTCAAAAGGAACATTTCAAGATCTATCCTGAAGTACAATGCTGTCAGTGATAGGATAAATCTATATGCCTACAAGGAAGACCAGTTATGACTATTATTCAAATTTACACACCAACCACTAAGAACAAAGATGAAGAAATTGAAGATATTTACCAACTTCTGCAGTCTGAAATTGATCAAATATGCAATCAGATGAATTTGTAATTTCCGCTGATTGGAATGGGAAAGTTGGAAACAAAGAAGAAGGGTCGGTAGTTGGAAAATATGGCCTTGGTGATAGAAACAATACCGGTGATCATATGATAGAATTTTGCAAGACCAGCGACTTCTTCATCGAAAATACCTTTCTTCAACAACATAAATGGCGACTATACATGTGGACCTTGACGGGTGGAATACACAGGAATCAAATCGACTACATCTGTGGAAAGAGACGATGGAGA